AACTTAAACTTGAATTCTGCGGTTTTTGTGTTCGCATGAATATTTACAGTAACTTCCACGACCGACTTTCTGCTAACCTCGGCATTGATCAAGTAATTCTTCGTATTCTTGTTGAGCAAACGCGAGGTGTTACTTTTATTCTTTATTCACGAATAAGCTGACGTTTCGGCGGATTTCGCCTTCCTCAGAGCCTGGAAAGGTCAAGTTGACAGCAATCTATTTAGCCAAACACCTCCATAACCAAACAGAAAACGCTGAACCAAGATTTCAATCACACTGAACACAGCTTTGCACACTCACCGCTTTCTATGAGTCTTCCACTGAGTATGTCGCGTGAAGAACAACCGCACGGAATTCACATAGAAGCGTAATGTACCTCTCCCATCAGAATAACAGTCTTATATACTGCCCAATATCACGCATGATAATAGCGCATTCTTCCGTGTGGTTCATTTTCGGATTTCTGGAATTTATCCAGAACGCCTTGAGAGTTTTGCGCGCTTGCGTTCTCGATTCCTGTGCGAGGATCGTGACACCTACTTCAAAGTCTTCCCCTTTATGTCTCTGGGCCCTATGCGTGCCTAGTGAGGTATTTGGTTTACGTTTGCCGACTAGGTCTTTTATGCGGACACAGAGGGGTCTACCCGTTTCGCAAATGTATTCGTCTCCGCACGCCTTACAGACGATCAGATAAACTATACCCGAGCTCATGCAATCACCGCCTTCTACCATTGGGGCAAATTATGCAATTTTGCGTTGCGCACAGACGGTCATATAGGCGGTTACGAACTAGCTGGCGCCTAAGATTATTCGGTGGCATTTCAACTACGTTTACCGAATTCTCTGGATTCGCCCTTCTTAAGCAGCGTTTTATAGCTGCACTTACACCATTTGAGATGAAGGGTAGGATAAACGGGACCTTTCTATCGCTAGAGTTGTCGTTTGGGGCCTAGGAGTTCCCCTACACCTATCCCGAGCTTCAGTTTCGTAGCCATTAGAAATGGCCATTTGCCGCGCCAAGTTCCGGTACTCGTCTCTCTGCTCTTCTCATGCACACGTTGGTTGCTGTTCGAAACATGTTTCTTACAAACACCCTTTTCGTGTGGGAGTGAGAGGAATGGTAATGAACCACGATGTTTTTACCACTGGGCTTTCGGTACCACTTCGTAATATAGCCATTTTCTGACATGTGAACTTGGACGTTCAGGAATGGAAGCCATTTATCTTTCGGCTTCTCTTGGGTGAACTTGATATACTCAAACTGCGCATTTAACAACTCGAAACATTTGTCCATTTCCTCTTGTGTTGAGCAAAGGATAAAACAGTCATCTATATATCTACAGTAGAGTAGCGGCCCGAGATCGGTCACAGGTGCTTTCACCTTAGATACTAACGCAATGGCAAGGCTTGGTGCCAGTCGTTGTCCCATTGTCAACCCTCTTATTTGAGCGTAGTACTTTCCGGACCATCTGAAGATTGAACGGCTCGAGCATTCTTTTAAGAGTGCCATCAAGTGCTCTATCTTGAAACCATACATGTTTATTTCTCCTTCGTGTTGTATAAGGAGCTCGAATATGGCTTGCATTGCGGAGTCATTCGACGCGTTTGTATAAAGGGCCGTAACGTCGAAGGACTCCATAACGTAAGCGCTACTGGGTTGCGCAGTACGTAGACGATCCAGAAACATCTGGCTATTCGTAAGATGGTTTGGAATGTGTTTCAACAACTGGTTAAATATTAGGGTTAAAAACCATGTTATCCTATCCGTTGGCCCGTCTACGCAGCTACGCAGATAGGTGTAACCTAAACAATGATGGATCCGTAGACGCAAGATCATCGTTGAATACTAACTTATGAGTTTTTATAAGCAAGTGCAAGACGGAGCACGTTGGTAAGTCAACTTTTATTTGAGAGATAACTGATGGTTTTAAACCAGTAGCCCTTGCCATTCTGACCCATTCATGGTTCCATTTTCAGTATTTATTTTTATATTCCTTCTCAGATGATGGGCGATAAAGTGAAGCATCTTCAAAATGCTTTTTCGTTATCTCCACATTTAACTGATGGGGAATTACGACAAACTCTTCACGATTATCGATAGCGGATAGTCTTATGTTTTTCAACCTTATCAGCTCCTGTAACTCTCGCATACCACGTTTTTGCACTTCAATGAGGTTTGAGTTGTATCTTTTCGCTCGATGGTGATTAAGGACTTTGAGAGTTTCATTCGTAAACATCCGAGAGTTAACGTCAATTTCATTATTGTGCTTTTGTTGTCTAAAGAAGGGTTGAGGAAATGGTGCTCTTTGTAGTGTGCCCACTTGGTGTTGTTCGCATCTATTTTGCGTTTCATCTCTAGCTTTTTTGCGGAGTCTATCCTGAAGTTCATGTAAACTACATGCGATCCTACGCAAGGTTATCTTAGAAGTGGGTTCAAACGGTGAGCAACTCGGTTCCAATTCTAGTAACGAGCGCGCACCGTCAGGGAGAGTCATGCTTCCTAGCACGGTTAGCCTTCAATTTTCTTGCACATTACCTATCCTACCGTGACCTGTTTGATGTTCGTTAGCGATATTTCTGTGCGACATTGAAGCTGTGTTATGCGATTTACTCAAAGGTCTTCGAATTTTCTCCGCAAAGACCTAAAAGAGTTGCAAACGTCTACCAGATACCCCACTAGGCACGCATAGGACCCAGAGACATAACGGGGAAGGCTTTGAAGTACGTGTCACGATCCTTGCACAGGAATCGAGAACACAAGCGCGTGGAACTCTCGAGGCGTTCTGGATTAATTCCAGAAATCCGAAAATGAACCGCAAGGAAGAATGCGTTATTATCATGCGTGATATTGGGCAGTATATAAGACTGTTATTCTGATGGGAGAGGCACATTACGCTTTCGTGTGAATTCTGTGCGGTTGGTCTTCACGCGACATACTCAGTGGAGGCCTCATAGAAAGCGGCGAGTGAGCAAAGCTGTGTTCAGCGTGATTGAAATCTTGGTTCAGCGTTTTCTCTGTTTGGTTATGGAGGTGTTTGGTTGAATAGATTGCCGTCAAGTTGACCTTTCCAGGCTCTGAGGAAGGCAAAATCCGCCGAAACGTCAGCTTATTCGTGAATAAAGAATAGAAGTAAGTAACACCTCGTGTTTACTCAACAAGAATACGTTGAATATTTACAGTACCTTGATATTTCTTGCCTTTAAAAAATTCATTCTTGAAATTGTTATAAACTAATAGTGGTATAGGTTGTACATCGTTCATACAAAAAGTTTATTATGATTCTATGCAACCACCTCCTGGAAGTGGTTCTTTGTGCGATCTGTACAGTATAGGTTAGATCATGTCAATTGTTATTTCGTGTTTCTGTTCTCAGTAATGTCTTTCGAAACTGTGAAACACTTGAGTTTACGAGATTGCTGAAAATACCATCAAGGCTATCTTCGAACTGTCCAAATCCAGTACGCCAAGTGCTTTACAATTTTGGATCATTCCTTATGTTAAATTTCCAGTTACTGCTCAAATGAACATTGCACCACCAAAAATTCCAAAAGCTCCAGTAGACGAGGATGCCAGTAATACCATTCAATCTACGGAAGAAAATTCACAAGGTAGATTCCCGTAGTGGTTATAGAATCTTAATAAAAAGAATCATACACATGTGATATTTTGAGGTGATGAAATTTTTAACCTTACTTACCGATTTAAAGTAGTTTAGTTTAAATTAGATTCCTTCTGGATTATAACGGCTGTAATTTCCGTTTTTAAAGTTCATCATAGCATTTCTTTTAGAATTCCTAAATGTGTTCGATTTTACTGAAGTTCCTTTATTTTAAAAGTTCAGATTCGACTACTGGAGCTAACGCTCCCCGGCTTGCTCGATTCGCGGGGAACTTGAACGACGATTCTAATACTGGCTTCTCGGAAGCGGGTTTCGACTCAGATTCAAATCAGACCTTCGAACCACAGAACTACCAACCGAGTTCGGAACATGTTTCCACAGATTTCAGCGCTATGAGAGATGCGGAGATGGGCAACTAGTGTTTTTACCGTTAGGACTTACTCGATCTCAGAACATGTAATTCGTTTGTGCACTATATCTAATTTATTATCATTTTCAACGATAATCAGTGAATTATCATTAATATGGAAGACATTTTCAAGTGAAATGGTGCCTAACAAGAGAAGTGAGTCAATATTAGATATAATAATTGCAATGGCAGTGTGACAAACAAATAGGGAAGGAAGTTATCTGCTAAAAAGTTAACATCGCGAGGGTTGTTGGGGTTCTGTAGTACAACTATGTTCAGAAGTTCTCTTAAGCGGGTTTGTTCGTAATCTGTTTATACCTTTTTGAGTAGTTTAATGAATGTTCGTTGCATTAGATTTTTATGCTGGTCGAATAACTTTTCAATTATTTCGCTAAGTACTTGTGATTTAAACATAAAGAGATTAGAAAATGATGTTCACGTCATAATGAGAGCAAAAAAAATCTTATGCAATGATGTGGGTCATACCTGAACGGTGGGTAGCTAGTGCTACTAATAGCGCGGGTTGGAAAAACCGTTAGAGCTCCGCCTAATTCTTTGGTCATTTGATTTTGGAATAGTTCTTGTTCTTCCATTAAAATGAGCTAATGTTTGTTAACCACAATCGAGGAGAACTAATCATCGATGAGTATGTCATAAAATTGGTGGACTCTCTTATAAAGTTGCGTGCAATTCTGCCAGTATGTGAGGAAATTTGTTGAAAGGCTTCCTATGTCACATACTTGTAAAGCTATTAGCGTAAGCCGTGTAGCTATTTTTGGTTAGTCAAATCTTGTAGGTACATTAGCGGCCATCGTTTATGGTTTTGATCGAGATGGATGTTGGTTAAATTTTCTAAAAATTGGACCCGTCACTATCTAAACCCGAGTAAATTTTTCGGGACATTAGTTAGACCCTCCTTCGGAATAAAAGACGAACAAGAAATTGATGAAATGGCAGTGTAAGAGGAAACGTTATGGAGAAAAGACGAGAACAAAAATAATTACGGTAAAAGAAGATAAAGTCGGTGCAGAGTTGGTTTGTTCAGCTGTTAGTCGTGCTGATTGACGTTCTCCCTCGCAGAATGGCCAAAATTCCGAGATCGGAATTGGAAATCCTCTTGAAATTGGAAGTCGATAGTCAGAGGTGTTCATTCTGAACACCATATCACCTCGCATAAAGTATAGCTCTGAAATCGTTGTAGGTTTTAACTGATTATTCTTCCGAACACTATTCGTGACTCGATTTAGATTGACAAACCCTTTCTCCAACTGAATGCAGCCGTAGAGCCTTGTGGTACGTGTTTCCAATTTAAGCTAATGAAACGAGCATAGGAGTCTTCGACTTTCCTTATCCGAACATCCAATTTCCAGTACTCATGTTCGGACCACAGGTAAGTGGCGGGTGGGCTAAAAGTAGAAGAGAAATCGCAAAGAAAGCACTCATGAGCTCCAGAAATGGTTTCGTTGTAGCAGAATATGTAAACGTGTCTTGTTAATCGACATATGTAGATTGCATTTTTTAAAATTAAATTAACAAGGTTAGCCATGACGTTAGATATGTCCGTTTAAAGTTGAAAAAGCAAATTTTTCTCGTTCTTAGAAGGGATTTTATGCTTCTGGCGACCATTTCAAGGTTGTAAAAGCTAGGGGATAAAGCTCTCGGCATGGATCAATCCCTGAGGGATGCGTCATACATCCGACTTCATTAAGTATCGCTGGAGGTGATTGAATGCCTATCTAGCCAATAACTCGCGGTGGCCTACCGATGTATCGAGCCAGTGCTGCTATCCTCCCAGACAAGTTTGGTACCATCAAGTTTGTAAGCAGTAAAATTTATAGTACAAAAAAATTTTAGTGTTATCCTGTCACCTTCCGAAATGGTGGGGGAGAACTGGTAAAAGATGTTTAGATCAAATCCTTTGAACCTGTTCGACGTTGTATGAAATTATTGTCTCCCTTGTTTAGGTTTACTCTACGTATTCGACATTACTATTTGATTTGCATACAGAAATACTCTTTTTCACTGCAGATTTGTTGTAATGGTCTGACTGTGATGGGTGCTCAGTCTTCCCGTTAAATCACTAACACATGGATCATGTATTTAGCCAATTCGTTTTCGAAGTTAAGTGTCTAACTTACTCAAAATAATGCCATTGATATGCTAGTCGAACGCTGAGCAAGGTTTCCGGGAGTCCCAAATTAGTGAGTGGTTGAGGACCTTGTACTTGACTTCTTTCCGAGAATATCCAGAAATTTTTGCCTGAAATGCTGGTAGCTGGAAATGTGTTAAGTCTGTACTTCGTTTTTTTCTGTAATGTATAGATGTGTTTGGCTAGAGAAGCTGCAGCATTGTGGTTGCCGTCCTTAGAATACATCTATTTGATAGCTTCTGGAGATTTTCGAAATTGCCACAGACCTCTGCCTTCCAATACGTATCTTGTAACCTAACCTTCAATTAACAAATAAGAGAAAGTTTAGTGATAGAAGATGATTCGTGTAAGCTGCCTTTGGAGAAATATACGATATTATGGATCGTGCACACACGTTTATGAAACTCAATGAAGCACTGAGAAAGACGTTGCTACTTCCCATCCTTACCAGTTTAAGAGATTTGCTTTAGACAGACCTTAAACAGTAAGCTTTACAAACGGAATAGTGTTTCTTAAATAGTTCTGCTATCTGTATTTACGCTATGTCAAAAATAGACACGATGAGCGATGCCGATTAAGTAAGAACCACGATTACTAAACCTTATCGATGGGTGAAGAAAAACACTCTAACGAGTATTCTAAGGTTTCGAAAATCTTATAGATCAATCACGTAAACCGTCCGAATCATTACTGCTAGATACAAGCAGTAATTTGACCCAGTCTTCTTGGGTAAAACTTTGTACTAGAAATGTGATGATCTTCGTGTCCCTCAGGAGGCAGAACCTTGACAGCAGTAATACACAACAAGGATAAATGAAGCCCTTGTGATAATGAACTGAACGATAGGTGCCAGACTACAAAGCGCGTCTTATTTTCATCCCCGCTCTCTAAAGGCGACTCTGAGCTCTAGAAGTCTCCTTGCAAGAGCATTGTTGTCAGATGGCTGATTAGTTTTTTTTACAGTGTCTGAGAACATTGGGTAGAGAGTGGAATTATAATGCAATTTTGGATCTATTGGAAAAATTTGATCCCGTGAAAGAAATGTGGGATGAAGACAGCTGCAATCATAATGTTGCTAAGATATATACAAAACTCCGGACCGCTGGTGTATGCGGTGGGGATCAAAGACGCTATTACCCTTTCTGGGCTAACGCGTTCACCACCACACCATGCGAGTTTTTCGTTTCGCCTGTTTCTCAGCCATGTTATTGACCTATAGGCGGTATCAGCAATCACCCGTCAACGAGTTTGATCTGGGGAACTTTATGTGAGGATAGCTGCAATCATTTTTATATCCATGAAAGGGTATAAGAAGCATATTTCTTAATAACACAGTTACAGGAAGTGCAATGGCTTTTGCGCCGTAATTGCTTTGAGTAGAGAAATGAAATGAAAACGCTATTTTGAGGGAACATTGTTAGAGCAGAGATCATATCCTTCAATTTTTATTTACCACTTATGATTTTTTCACGGTAGGGCATTATTTGAAATATACCCACAAGGATGCTGAGATATTTGCAAATTTTGGATCCCTGGCCAGATCCGAACCTGCGCTTACCCTGTTCGGGAGCTCACTTCTTACCCACTGTACTACCGATACCGTTGCATTGTCTTTCTTTCAGGAAATTTTTTATCTTAGCGTTGCCATCATCATACCGTTTATTATCCCTGGTAGATACTGTTATGTGCAATCTCACGGACATAAAGGAAAATTTATCGAACTATCTCACATCAAGTCGTATACTGTTAAGGTCGGAAGGTAATGAATGGAAGACAGAGATCGCTCGAAACGGAGATCAACATGCTTTATCATGTTTCGACTCCTGATCGCTCAATGTACGACTGTGAACATACCTGAGAATATCCACATTTGACCACGTATCTCAACAGCGGCGTCTATTTTTTGCGGCAATCCGGGAAAGACCTCGGAAATCAAGCTTGGACCGTAGACTGCTCGACCGTCGTTGACCACTCGCCAAAGCCATTCATTCTGAATTTAAAAGAATGTTTTCTCAGCTTTCAGGTGTTCGTGTTGCAACGTCTGTCCTTATTGCGCGACCAACGTTTTATTTAGTTCCTTACAAACCCGGTTGAATGCAACAAAGCGTGCGAAGTGCATTTTTGTTTTCGAGGTAACAAAAGGTGTTCCCATTCAGTTTTGCTTAATAAATGCTGGTGAAACCTTCACATATTGTAGATTACAGCACAATAGTAGTACGGGTCTCTAGAGAGATCACGGAAGAGGAAATATTTTAATCTTCGGTATTTTTTTTCCTTCAGAAAAGTGGTTTTTCTCACATAGTCGACCGTTTACTGATACATTTGCGATGCTGCCGCCTTCTAGACAATTTTTCAACAATTAGAAATCGTAAGAATAGGGGACCTGTTACATTCACAGAACACGATTTATGCTGGCGCGGTTGAGGTGCAATGATATTTCGTATTGCTCTTACTTCACGATCCCTTGAAGTTAAAGGTTAAAAAATCCTTGTTTCATACGAATTTCTAAAATTTTGACCCAATCAGAGGAACCAGTGACATCAACGGTTCGTTCGTGAACCCGCATTTCCAACTTGTTCTTTGTTTAGAATATGAGCTTCGACAGAAATAAAAGCAGAAAGTGTTTATGGGATCACGAAAATAGTAGTTTCACTGTGGGAGTAAAGGTAACTGCCAGTGCTAGTTATGACCTGTAGATCCTAATTATCTTTATTCTAAGAAGATTCGCTACAAGTTTAGATGTTTTTTAGAACTGAGAGGATAACAAAAAATAGACCAATATGCATTGAAAACAATGCACAACGAGCGAATATTGTGGTTTACTATCAAAGTTATATCGTTGCCAGTCGCTTATTCTGCGGCTTTTAGAGTTCGATCTATTGTACGTTAAGCCACACTACCGTATTTCTAAGACGAGCTCACCTTAAAAACAACAAACTCCCCACGGTAGGTCGTCACCGCGTCCGCTCCTGATGTGCATGGTTGTGGTCTGCAATGTGCACTTCTTAAAGATTATCTCATTCGTATAGTTGACCTCTTATATTTTTCAAGTCATGTCTTACTTTCTACAATACTTTGATGCGAGTTTTATCGAGTAGTATTCTGCAGTAATTCGAGGTTTTTGTTTATTATACAATTCCTTCAAAGTTAGTGTAACATACTTGGTTGTCGTTTCTGGCACTGTCACCTCATTCCGACTATAACGGTCGTTTGTCCGATAGCCACTGGTAGGTTTTATCATGGGCGGACCTGAAATTCAATATGATCTTGCTCAAAGTGACATCAAGCATTTGTCACGTACAGATGTAGCTACTTTTTGTTCTAGATTTAAACGGAGGACAAATGGTACTTTAGCTGGTAACTCAACACAGCACTGGTAATGCTTCTAACACTATGATTGAATTGTATAAAAAACATCTCACTTTCGAATGTTTGCGGAAAGAAGAAAAACGGGGCTTCTCTAAGACTAAGGGGCCTAACTCTGCTTATGGTTTTTATGCGAAAAACGTACCATACATGGCCTGAATAGTCTGAATATCTTGCTGTGTGAAGGACTGCCCTTCAACGAGTATGGGATACATCACACTATTCACGTCGCTTACGTGCGGTAATCCAAGTGAATGTCCGATTTCGTGAATCGCCGTCGCAAAAAGCAGTTGTGCTGAAGAAAACACCATTTACACATCCTTTCGTCTTTTTTCCGAAATACATCGAAATTCTGTGAAGCACATCCAAATTTATGACACTTGGGTATGATATGATACCTTAGATATTTGAGCGAAGTGTTTCACATGTCATGTGAACCGCACTGCTTCTTCCATTCCGCGTGATAGTTGGTATATGTTAGCATACAAGTATGTTTTGCTGCGGCTTGATAATCTTTCTTCTCTTGTTCTCATTGACATACTGAAGCTGAATGAGCATGGTTCCACTCGAGATACCAAAATACCACGGGTGGGATACTGCTGGGTCGTCGACCATAGGCACTTGATAGCTGTTCCTTGGGACTAGTAGTCACTCAGAACGGTAAAGGATTTCTGTGACAAGTCGACTAACCGATCTAGGACAATGTACTTAGCCGAAATTTATGCTTATAATATTGCCATGTAATTGTCCAATCGGTATCAATGGTATACCATCTAACTTGTGGACAATGCACGTAATTGTATGTTAAACTGTGATGTGTTTATAATCCCGCTAAGGTCATCCAAACCACGAGAAGGTCTAACGTTCACAAACGCAGCTAACAGTAAACCTATGGAAGTAATGATAAATGTATTGGCAGAAATCCAGCACGTGAGCAGCAAACGTCGGATCCACAAAGGTTGGACACTGGCTGCAGTGACTACCTAAAAACACTTCAGCACAACTACTACGGGATTCCACAAAAGAAAAAACACTCCCATACTGGAAAACTATTGAAGCATTAGTAGTCCTATGGAGCAAAAGATTCGTAAAGAGGTGCAAATCAAGTGGCCGTGAAGGTGATGTGATTGACGTAAACGTATCTTATATTCTACAAATCGGTTGAGTCAAAGTGCGTAATTAAGCCAACTGGGAGTAAAATGGAGTTAGGAAGAAGTTGGCTCCAACAAATAAGTTCGTCTCAGAAGTCGGAGACAGTAGGCGGTACCATTCTCTTGACTTCCGAAGGAGTCCACCCTACGACAACGTTGGATAAGACAGGTACAAAAAGTCTGATAAGACCTCAGAGTCTGTCTTGACCAGCTCAATCTGGAAATGCTGAGATCTTTACAAGCATCGACATTACCATTACGGTGCAAACTAGTAAGATTACGTACAAAGTCATTAGACTGACTGAGAAGAGAAAACTCGGCTTATTCAACGGATGTATTACACCGATGAAGAACTATTGCTCGAGGTATGCGACAGCAGAGGAGTCGGCCACATTGGTGTTTGTTCTCGTCAACATCAGTTTGGTTATAAACGTCAACTCTTTCAAGAACAGACCCGAATTGAACGTTTATTGCTGAGGAGACGTGGACCAACACTAACTCCGACAGTCTTGCACAACTGCGCACCCAAATCAAGTTTTGATGGAGACGAAGCTGAAGAGCTCTATATAATGTATTAGAGGGTTTTTACCTCATCTCAGAGGCGACCTCACCTGTACGGTCATCATTAGAGACTGAAATACAAGCTGACTTGGCTCTTCACATGTCACTTGTCAGAATGCAAAGTTTCTAGTCTGTGAGTCCCACAAAAAAAAGTGAGTCTCACAAAAAATTGGTAACTATCGCCCAATGTGCCTGCTGTTTGTCCTCTATTAACTCTTTTCTCCAGTCATCCTCAACAGGACTGACAGTACTGGGCGAAGGATAGCCATGTGAGCAAGCAAGACTCCGAAAAGAATTCAGTACGGTTGACCACATCCACAACATCATGCCACTCATCGAAAGATACGAGAGTATAAGAAACCGCTGTGTTCCACTGTCATCGGCTTAAAGAAGGCTTTCGACTCAGTTGAGATAGAAGCGATGATAGGAGCTCTCGAGAGCCAAATCGTCGCTACGCAGTACATAAAGATCTTTCGTGAGCCGTATGAGAATTCCTCAACCAAAGTTTAGGATTTTATAACGATAATAACTGTTAAGAAAAGTGTTGACAAGGCGATACCATTTCGTCAAGATTACTTACAGTCGTTCTTACAATATCTCAAGATTAGCCAAGTTGAGCCACTCTTAATCGAAGTCAACAACGCCTGTGGAAAGACTGGTCTTCGAATAAGTCTTGCAAAACGATATTCATAAGATGCGGAATTGTTCCTGATACCTTATTTAAGCTGAACAGAATGAGTATATTTGAATATTCCAGCCATGTGCATCTGGGTTGCGAAGTCGACATGGTCGACGACTTAGCTCCAGTGTTGAACAGGAGAAACGGGTGTTTCGGGAACTTGCAAGAGTGTCAACGATTTGCTAAAAAGGCTGATCAACTTACAAAAGGCCACCTACTCAGTTGAAGCAGAAGAGGTCGCGAAAGCTCTGAATAGCCCAGGCTTCTCCACTCAGTAGATACAGCACTCTACTACGTGTCAAACTCTTCGACCCGGCGGTTGTTCCTGTGCAACGTATGCGTCAGAAACCTGGTTGCTACGTAAGCGGGATGGAAGATCACTGTGATTTATCGAACGTGCAGTCGAGAGAAGGATTCTGCGAGTATCTCTTATCGAGCAAGCAAGACGGAGAATCCTTCTTACGTCAAAGATCGAAAATCAAGGACACCATTTTAGTTGCCAAAATGTCAAAAAACAGGTGGGCGGGAGCAAGCAATGCGTTTGAAGGACAACCGATACACAAGAGCCATTATCGACTGGATTACACGGGGTGTGAAGTAAACAGCAAGAAGATTGTCGATTCCAATCTTAACCCTTTTACTTACTGCCTTTTTCTTCTTAATGGCAGGGTATGTTGCGAGATATAACTCGTATGTAATGCTGAGATATTTGTCTCAAATTAAAATTAAAAAGAAAAAGGCAGTAAATAAAAGGGTTAAGATTGTGATTATAACTATGCCTCAGCTTAACTGGATTCAATGCCGATTTGGGCTCCCAAGATCAACCTCGTTGACGGGTGTTTGCTGATGGCAAAAAGGTCGATAGAACTAGATGAGAGACAGGCAAAGCGAAGGACTCGGATGGTGTGGTGGTGAAGTGCGCTGCTTCCCGGTAAGGACAACAGAGCGTGTTCATTTCCCACCGCATACACCTGCGGTCCGAAGTTTTGCAAATATCTCAGCATTACATACGAGTTGTCGATTCCATTGTCAAAATTCTTGACAAAGTTCCTAAAAAAAATATGATGCTCAATGAGTTCGTAGAACGGAGAAAATTCGTTGGGCTGCTCTCGTGCTTGAGATGGACAAATGGAGACTTTACTGGCGCTCGCTCGAGTCAATCTACGACAGCTGATATAACTGACACAACTAGTACTGTAGCGCTAACACAGGATTAAAACCTCTACACTTATTTTTTTGCCTAATTTATATTATTTATTATTTTTTGCCACGTGATTGGCAGCAGTTTTCTCTGGAAGATTACGAAATGAAGCTTAAGGAGTGAGTGTCCAAAAGTACTGGTTGTCATCGTTTGTTGACAAAATGTGGGTATGGGTCACCAAATACGAGGCAGCGACTTAAGGCCATCGTTGTATGTCCTCTTGTTTTAGATATAGCAGTATTATAATTTCTACCACTTACGAGTCCAAGGCACATCGTCGTTAAAATGAATGTCGCCGATGAGACTGGATGGATCCTCGTCCAGCTCAAAAAATGTGCTCCGAGGACGAAATGCATGCGCTAACACCGTAGACGAGAACGGATATTCGCAGTAATGTGATCCCACCTGAGATAAATATACGCCTTCCAAAAAATTCATCTGGAACATTTGTGTCAGATATTGCTTCAGGCATTGCTTCAGTGAATTACGCGAATAAATCTCACAAATGAAAACTTTCCTTAAGCGTAGTGATCAACACTAAGAAATACTGTTAGAAAAATGTAGAGCAAAAAGAAAAACAGATCCGAGGATGGAAATGACTCGCGTTTTCAAATAAGCTATGAGGCAATTATGCTTTCGATGAAAAATTGAGACCATGTAATTGTCTTAGAACTAACTCCAAATCGAATGTTGAGTATGGGATTGTGCGCTCGTCGGAAGTCGAGGTCGGCATGTTTCCTCCACTCACCGAACGCCTTCGCCATCATCGCGTCCACAGTACTGGCACCGAGATGTCGCGACCATGTCGTCACCCTTGAAAATATACACTCGATGAATCCCACTAGCTACACAGGATTTATGGCTTGACCTGCCAATCCGGGCGATTGCAGCTTTGAACACTCTGCTAGCATTAAGCGGGCCTACTCCAACGCTAACAGCTCCTGTTGTTTAAACCCGCGGCGTCTAATTTCACGTGGATGCTGCGTAGGACGACGCATAATTTTAGGTCGGTTACAGATTTAGGGCAACTTCACGACTA